TTTTAGACCGATCGCGTTAACGTCTGTGATTATGAAATGTTTTCAAAAGTGTATTGTGTCAATGTTAAAAGCAGAGGTTGCTAACAACCTAGATCCTTTACAGTTTGCCTATAGGCAGGGGAGGGGAACTGAGGATGCTATTATTAGCATTATGCACCTAATCTGAAGCATTGGAGAATCACAAAGCCTATGCTCGTTACTTTTTATCGATTTTAGTTCGCCTTTAACACCATTCAAAACACCCTTGTTAATCTCAAAGATGGAGCAGTTGAGTGTAAACCAAGCTATCATAAAGTGGTACTCATCTTTTTTAGTTATCTCACAGCGCTTTCATAAAAGAGCAGGTCTAGACCGTACTCTGTGATGATATTTACAGAAGCCCAACAGTTCCACCAAGAGCCACTAGGCGACAGAGGCAAGGAAAAACTTCTTTAAGAGGCAGAAACCTCGAGCAGAACCATGGCTCAGGGTGGGGCCATCTGCCTCGACCGGTTGGGTGAGAGAGAGAGAGAGAGAGAGAGAGAGAGTAAGGAGGGAGAGAGGGGAGGGAGGCAGCCTACACAATATCCACACAGAGGTACAGACAGTGAAGGTAATGTTGCTGTAGACTAAATGAAAAATGGTACAGATATTTATAATAGTGTTACTGGTAACCATCGTAATGTTAATGATTATAATAACAATAATAACAATAAGACTAGCAACAATAGTCGTTGCAGCAGAGGGTGTCGAGCAGGAACACGGGGCAGCAGGTGACCCGCAACCACAGATCCAGACTCCACAGCTCCAGAGCCAGAAAACCTGCAGGAAGTGATAGGAGGAGAGAGGAGAGGGACGAGAAAGCACAAGACTACCAGAAAGGGGAGAAGTTGTGTTAGTAACATGCAATAATGGGATGAGGTTGCATACAGAGGGAGAGAAAGTAGAGGAGAGAGGAGCTCAGTGCATCATGGGAAATCCCCCGGCAGTCTAGGCCTATAGCAGCATAACTAAGGGATGGTTCAGGACTACCTGAGCCAGCCCTAACTATAAGCTTTATCAAAGAGGAAAGTCTTAAGCCTCTCTTAAATGTGGAGATGGTGTCTGCCTCCTGAACCCAAACTGGAACCTGGTTCCACAGGAGAGGAGCTTGATAGCTGAACGCTCTGGCTCCTAGTCTACTTTTGGAGACTCTAGGAACCACAAGTAACCCTGCATTCTGGGAGCGCAGTGCTCTGGTGGGGTAGTAAGGTACTATGAGCTCTTTAAGATAAGATGGTGCCTGACCATTAAGAGCTTTGTAGGTAAGAAGAATGATTTTAAATTCTATTCTGGATTTTACTGGAAGCCAATGCAGAGAAGCTAAAACAGGAGAAATGTGATCTCTTTTCTGGTTCCTGTCAGAACACGTGCTGCAGCATTCTG